ACACACACAAACACATGCACACACACACACACACACACACATACACACACAAACACATACACACATATACAACATACTACGTGTACTAACTTTAGATTAGAGGAAGTAGAGGATTACCTCTCTACCTCAACAAAACCTTGGAGAAATTTGCCCCTTGACTCTCATGTATATATTTTATACGGACATGTTTTTGTTGTATTTCACTACTCGTGTCAACGTGAGTCATTTTTGCGTACGTCTCTGATGAGCATTAATATTCATAGTACATTATGAGCCTCTTGTCGTTTTTTCAATGTTGTTGTGTTGCTGCTGGATGAAATCTTGTCGGGTTCTCTTGTTTCAATGTGTCGTCTTATGTTTTCTTCGCTTCCGTCAACAGCGTCAGCAATTTTACCGCGTAGTGCTTGTTTTGTCTCCTTTCCTGAGCTCTATTTTTTTCTATTTTTTGGAAGCATTGAAATAATTGTGAGGCAGCGAGGTGGAATCAGGCTCTCGTCAATTTTTGGGCATGTAGCGTTATTGGTATCATCTTAAAACTTGTTCACTTGTCTTTATTTGGATGAAAAAAAATATCCATTTATCTTGAATACAAGTCGAGATATTTGCGAAAGAAGGAGGTGGGGGTCACCTGTTTTCAGAGGTAAAATTAGTGAAAAAATGGCCACCGAAGATTAGTTATTTCCTTAGCTTAAGAGTCCGTGGTAACTGAAAATTTACATTTTTTGTGCCTTTAATCAACGTTTTTCAGACAAATCCACACATAAATTAGTTCTTTAAAGGCATGAAAGGTGTTGAGCCAAAAAAAAACAATTTGATAAAAATTCACAAACCTGTGGAAAAATGCAAGTTTCGTCACTTGGATTATTTTGACGAGAGTCTGATTCCGCCACGCTGCCTCATAATTATTGTCTCTTCTAGGACGTACACCATCTAAAAAAAAGCAAAGAACTTGGAAAAAAGTAGACTGGTTTAACTTTAGGATACATGTCTCTTGTAGCCATTCAGAGCCAATTGTTGCTCCCCGAATGTTCTAAGTGTTATCTTATTGCCTAGCTCTGGTACTTCTGAAAACTAGTTAAGAGAGCAGGTGCTGCGTTCTTTACAGACTTAAAGATTGGAACTCCTCGGCAGCTTTGTTTGCTCAGCGGTTGTGATAAGGAATTGGGGCCTATTTTAAGAATACATGTCACGCAGTTGCAGTTCAAACGAATTTAGTTTGCGTGCTGTTTGCTTTGGTGATCCCAATCTGATTGTCTTTTAAATGCACCAGTAATTCTCCCAGCAAGCGTTTTTCAGTCACTTAATTTTGGCTATTTAGCTACAACTCAAGAATTCACGAAAGTCAGACGATTCAAGACAGAAACACCAACTTTAAAAGTACCTAAACGTATATATCGTTTCGTAATGGCAGTGCTACTCATAGATCTATTGTTGTGTGTTTCTAAGTCTTAAATAATTTACAAAAGAAGGGTAGTTTTCAGCATCTGTTTAAAAAGGCTCCGGGTTCGAAACCTGACAGCGACGGAACATTTTCTTCTCTAAAATTGTCTCCTTTCAACTCCTCTCCTGCTCTCTATGTTCTTTCGTCAGTTACTCTAGTCGTCTCCACTTTATCCCATCCCCCCCCTCCCTGTTTGATTGTTTGCCCCCTTCTCTAAGCTCCTGGCTCTAAGCTCCTGGCTCTTTCTGCAGCCTTTTTACTGCAACTCCTCGGGTCCTTCTTACTGCTGTCAGCTACATCCATGATCTTAGGGTAGCTTTCTTGGATAAGAGCAAAAAATCTTGGAGGTCCTGTGTGCAAGTTGCGCTTGTTAAACATCCCTTAATGGTCCTAAAGTCGATAAAATAGGCTTTTGCCACCATCCGGTCAAATTTCAAAATTAATTCCTACCAAACTGAAACCGCTTAATATGTCCCGTGTACTCATATGACATTATGCAGTTGCAATCGCCTTAAAACACTCATACCCACTCTCCCCCTTCCCAAAAAGAAGAAAAAAAACCCCGCCCAAGGCAACGTTTTCTGTTTAGTCGCCGTTGTATTGCCGGCCCCGGCTCTCTGTGACCTTGTTTCTGGTGACACACAGACGTGCCACTATTTCCCGTTGGGCCACACAGTGATATGCGGTTATATGAAAACACTTAAACTGGGAGTTCAATCACCACCACAGCTGAAGCTACAGCCATAGAAGAAAACAGAACATCGTCTTCATCATCATCATCATCATCATCATCATCATCATCATCATCATCATCATCATCATCATCATCATCATCAGCTGCAGCAGCAGCAACATCAGTATGATCATCGTCATCAACATCATCAATTTAACAATGCCAGTGGCGATATCGACTACATCAGCGTCAGAGACAATAAGAACAGCAGCAAGAACAATAAGCAACAACAACAACAGTGTCACGGATGAAGAAGAAGAAGAAGAAGAAGAAGAAAAAGAAGAAGAAGAAGAAGAAGAAGAAGAAGAAGAAGAAGAAGAAGAAGAAGAA